GAACCAGTCAACATCATTGGAGGATGCTAAACTGCAGGTGTAGCATTAGAGTTTTCCTTCTCCTGGTTGGATAATTTAGCTTATCGAGTGCCTGGACACAAACCCAGGTGAACGGTTTCATCAGCCCTTTAACAGGTCTTGTTTTTAATCATGTTGAGGTTTGTTCGCTGATAACCAGACCATGCAACAGGTAGTGCCAGATTACATAGTACCAGTAACACTCATAAAAAATGGTTTATATATATATATATATATATATATATATATATATATATATATATATATATATATATATATATATATATATATATATATTGTTTAAAATTTGTTATAATTATAAGAAAAGTGTTCAATATCAGATATAGCGTTTATAGATGTAGACTACGTGGATTCATATGACTACATCACCTATCTATCTAGCTACAAACATACACGTTTATATATATATATATATATATATATATATATATATATATATATATATATATATATATAGAGAGAGAGAGAGAGAGAGAGAGAGTGACAGATATACATAAAATCTAGCAGATAGATAGGTCTTCAATATTGACCATTCTTCCCAGATATATATAGTCAATTTTAAATTATATATATATATATATATATATATATATATATATATATATATATATATATATATATATATCCAAGTAAAATGAGAACAAATGGAGTATAATTCCACTGTACGTAACATTTTATTTAAAAGAGAGCTCAATACATTGTAGAGCTAAATATTATTTATTTATAGGATATTAAGACATGTTAAAAATCGTTACATAATGGCAATTATTTTTCGACACCATAAATGTGTCTCCTTGGGCGATGTTAAACTACTGGCGAGTGAAAGATTAATTTAATTTCAAAAAAAGAATATTTTAAAAAATAAGCTTGTGAGCTTTGTTGTGATTAACCAATCGAAATGTGACATACTTTAAATTCAAATTCATTAGGAAAAATATTAATATAGGTGATGACAGGAAGTTGTCTGCATGTAAAACCTAGACAGTTTCCTTATGGGAAGATACAGATTGCTGCATCATTTCGTAAGATGTATTGAAGTCTAACGTTCAACTTTCCTAAGAAGTAAAAACGAAATAGGTGGGAGAGGTAATTTAACATAATGCCAACTAGTTATATGCTAGTGCAGCTTCTTACATAAAGTTTTTATAGTTGATAAATAAAAGGCCCCTCTAAGAAACTGGTAAATAACTTAACGAAAAAACGAATCAAAAACACAGACCTACTTTGATAAATTAATACGTAACCGTTAAATTAAGAGCATCCATAGGTTATTAATACCAACCAATCAATGCAAGGTGTTAATAATACCAACCAAACACATGTACAGCCATATAAGATGTTAATAATACTAAACAAACTTGTGTGTATATACATTTTTGTGTGGACATAATTACTAGAGGCGGTGATATGTGTGTTTTTTGTTGTAGATTTGTTGAAGTTATATTGTGTAGGATATTATATTCATATTGGTTGTTTGGTAGTATTTTAAACGAATTTCGCTGAAGTCACTACAATTTGTTAGTATGTGCATATATTTGGTAATTTTACTATAAATATGTATTGCTGGTGTTTTTACTATAAAAAAAAGTATTTTTATACTTTCATAGTGTTTTGTTTGGTGGTCACTATTTGCTCATAGCTGGGACCCTAACAGGTGCTACCATCCCGAGTCAGGATGGACCTGGACACAACAGCAAATGAGTGAGAAGTCGTTTCACGCACCTCAAAACTTCCTGTCTCTCAATCAGATGCGTTGCAGCCCAATGTAGGTTATCTTCATACCCAGAACTATATATATATATATATATATATATATATATATATATATATATATATATATATATATACATCTTCCTAGTGATATGTACTTTTCTTTCCACCTCGACTCAAATGTTATTTCTCAATATTTTTACATTCGTGTTACACAAATGATTCACTTTCATTAGTGTACTGCTGATGATGCCAATAAACCTCCAAATATTTGTCAAATTATCCATTATTACCTGCCAGTAATTTTTCCTCTTGATTTATCTTTTCATATTCCTTACTCTCTCTCTCTCTTTCTCTCTGTGTGTGTGTGTATACAAGGTGTGTTCTAAAATGTTTTCAGCGCGATCAGCACCTCTTTAAATAATCTGATGTTTGGTCAGTTTTGGGGAAGTGAGTCGGGCCGAGAACTTTTCAGCATCGCTCGTGTGCCTTTCCACACCACAAATATATTAGAAGGTTTAAATCTGAGTGTACGGTTAAAAATACAGAGAGACACCCACGTACAAATTTGTGTTGTAAACAAATACGTTATCCCTTTTTTCTGGTGTCAAGATTTGAATATTTCCCGCGTTCGTTACGATGAAACACTCTTGCATTTAAATTATACATACGAAAAGTATACACATATATACGCATGAAAATATATGTCTACGTGCTAACCAAAAACTGGGAAAATTTTAGACTAATAACTCTGGTTAGTGTTTATCTATCTAGCCTTTAACCGTGTCTCGCCGAATATTTTCATATCTCTCAATATCACCGCACCAGGAAATAAAGAATCTCATTTCCTTTCAATTTTCATGTAGCACATCATATTAAATTGTTTGTAGGTCTCATGACTTTTGATACTTTTTATCCTCACGATCAAATTTGCAATAAAACACTTTTCCTTGTCAATTTGCAGATATGGTGCTATATGGTCTTCTTGCCTCGTGTATAATTGTAAAATCTGACAACAAATTGGTGTATGTAGATGCGGAAATATATAATTGTGTGTGTGTGTGTGTATGTGTGTAAAGTAATTAAGTTAATAGCTCATTGCGACTTCGACACTCACCGGGTGTCACTTCACACTGTAATGTAATGAGTGTAATCTCGCACTAAACTTAGTTGACCACCCCCACACACACACACACAACAATAGATACTTCTGGATGGAAGCTCGACTCGAAAACTAATTTGCCCGTGTAGTTAGAACCTCACTAGGTGCCCTATGACAGCGGTCTTGTACTAAAACTAGACTAAGGTACATTTATATATTGATATGTACACACGCACATATGTTTGATGCGACATTCCGATGTGTGTGTGTGTGTGTGTGTGTGTGTGTGTGTGTGTGTGTGTGTGTGTGTGTGTGTGTGTGTGCAGGTGTTTGTGTGGAGTAGGGAGGGGCGCAAAATTGACAATCGGCTTGATGTCACTTTTTGGTGTAGGGTATCATGGCCGAGGCGGGGAGTGTCAGCTTCCCTCACTCTTTTTTATTACGCTCTCTTTTCCTCTTCTTTTTTCCTTTCTATTATTTTAATGTTTACGCAGACTGCTTGGCCACGTTCCCACGCCTGCCTAGGGCCAATATTTCCTCCCCACTTCTTCACGCCCTCTTCTCTCTCTCTCTCTCTCAAACAAACACACATACACACACACACACTTCCATAAGGCTGCATTCAAGATGCCGTCACATAAGCTCATATCTGCAATAAAAGTTGTTTTTTTGCACAGCTGTATATAATTGTATGTACAAACACATACACACATGCATAGAAAAAGCTAATTACACACACACATATATATGGATGTATAACAATGTATATACATATACATTTCCACATATATTTTCACATGCTCTTTAACTATTATATCCACATATATGCAAACTACACATATATAATATAAACATAAACATACTTGTTTTTTTCAAAAATGACACTACAGAATATAGGTGTGTGCAAAAGATTTTAGCATTATTATCATTATTATTATTATTATAAAGCAGATATTCAACTAAGTATTCAATCTCAAGTTAAAAAAATAAAACAAAAACGAGTGGACTGCATACATCTAATACACACATATATGCACGATTACATGAAATATGCAGCAGTTTTTAAATGTATTCCCGTACAAATATATTCACCAATAAGCTAAAAAATACCACGTAATCAAATAATGCAAGTGGTATACTACACGTATTATATGTGTGTGTGTGTGTGTACGTATACATAAAATGTATTTTATATATATATATATATATATATATATATATATATATATATATATATATATATATATACTACAGAATAACTATGCACAAAAATTGTATAGTATCCATCTACACTTCACATACCAATTTTTATTCATACACTTAAAGATGAAGATACACCACTGACTCAGTTTACGTACACTAGAGGCAAAACACCTGTAATGAAAATCCATATACATACAAGAATTGTATCCACTCATAAAATAAAACATAAAGCTCTTTCTTTTTACAGATCTTTAATTTTAGTCTCAAACAACATCATCTGGACAGAAAAACAACTGATATTGTCATTTACCGTATTCAAGAAAACAACGTCTTAACGTCCACCCATACACACAGGCGTGTAATGTACATAGATATCAAAATGCATACGTAACGTGCGTATATGCCTATATGGATGTGTTTAGTGTACACAAACACATCCAATAATTAAATATTTATAAATAGCATAATGAACATTAATGTCATATATCACAATTTGATTTCGAAAAGAACCCACACACGGACATGTAGACATACAAGTATAAATCGTATACATCCTTACATATGCTTTAGACATAAACTTGAAAAATGCATCATATTTATTTTACGACACACACGCAAAATACGTGTGCGTAACACCGCATTTGCATTTTTTAATATGTACAACAATGACAAATGCAGGAAAACAGACACGCGTACAAAAGTGTTGTATTGTTCCTATTTAGAATAATACACATAGCTCTACACGTTTGCATAGTTACACACACTTACACACACACACTCACGCACACACACAAATACACACGCATAGTTATACACGAATACAGATCTGCAGTGTAAGTGGAAAAGAAGCGATAGCAGGAAGACGATGACGAGGTAAGGTTTTCGGGGTGAAGAGTGGAGTGCGATCAAGGAGGGGAGAACAGGGTTTGGGAATGTGCTGTGGGTTATGGAGGGTTTCGGGTTAGGGTCGTGGCGGCGAGGCGAGGGTAGGAGAGCAGGTCGGGCAGCCGCCACTCGTCAGCCATTCACCCACCTTCTCCTTTCCCCTTACTCTCTTTTCTTTCTTTCGGTCTCTGGTCACACACGATTGCCGAACGCGTCCGTCAGAATGTGTGGTAAAAAACTAGCGTGGGAAAGTGGCCGGTCTCCGCTTCACACACAGCTCGCCGGCTCAGCTCGTGTCCCCAAGGAGGGTGGGGAGGGGCTCTGAAGGCTTATAAATACAGCCTGCTCAAAGTGTCGCTAGAATATTGTCGTTCCTGCAGCCTCACTGGCTACAACTCTCATTTTGGCCACTGCTGAACCAATTCGTATTTGGAAAACCCAACTTTGATCACAAAGTTTTGCTCATCTCATCACTTGTATGGTTTTTCTTTGTTAAACTATTTAGTTTGGAAACAACCACCTGACATTTTCTACGTCTTATTTTCCCCTGATCCACTTTCTGGATTTCTTTTGATTTGAACAGTGTTTTTTTCATTTGACAACATCACAATGTTGGACAGTGTTACAACTGCGGCTTCAAACGCCGGCCCCATCAAAACACCAACCCACAGAAAAGTAAGTTTCTGTTTTTTAACTTATTGATCTTTATTGTGATTTGTGCACTGTTCTTTGCAAATATAAATCAGTCACTATTTTGTTAGTTTTAAAAATCATGAAAAACTAATGCAGATATTAGTAAATTATTTGTTAATAATTTACAAATTGGCTAGATTATTGTAATCGTTTAAAACTTTATTGTTTTTATGGAAAACCCAGAAGTCTTAGTTTGAACACAATATATCTTATTGTTTACCTGTCAACGTATGCCTGCCAACTGACAATGTCACAATATTGTTAGATTTTATTTATTCTTTTAAAGAAAAAAGTTAGAAAACGCATCAAAAGTGACAGAAACATTTTCTTACTTGTCAATGTCAATTACTTTGCTTCAATCTCTAAATTAATGTTCCAATACGCGTTTCAACCAGCATTGTAATAATCACCTCACACCTGTAATAATTGTTAATGTTTTAGCCTGCAACAAGCTATGTGATGATTATTGCAATATAAAAAAAAAGAATAGAATATTGCATCTTGTTCATCTTTTGAAAACAAAAACAAACATTAAACAATATTGTTTTGTTTGTTTTTTTTTAATAAAAAAAAACAAAAAAAACAGTCGCTTTGGCTTTCATTTGAATTTTTTCGAGCGGTCATCCTATCTTTTAGTGGTATTGTCAAAATGTTAAACATTTTCAAGTATCTTTTTCTTTTTTTAATCTTAGCAACTCTATGCATAAACCGTTGATCTTTTAATTCTGTTACACTAAAAGTAAAGTCTACATTTGCACACAATAAAATTCCTTTAAATAATGATCACTGACCGTAAAAACTAACAATCTTTTTCTTTTTCTTATTTCAGATCAATAAATTAATGATGGAAAAGCGAAGACGAACACGTATCAACAATTGCTTGTCTGAATTGAAAACTTTAGTGCTCAAAGCCCTAAAAAAAGATGTAAGTAAAAATTAATTTTCAATAAAGCTATGAGACTATTAGAAATACTTTACAAAGTTACAAAAGTCAATGCACTCTAAATTTATTGACATAATTTTGTTTTGATCGTTTCGCTTCAATGAAAGAAATATAAAAATAGTTTAAAGAATGTATAAATTAAGATAACCAATAGATGTCAAAATGAAGTAAATTCGTGTGTGTGAATCGGGATAAAGTTAATTTGTTTTGACTTTTGAAGAGCTAAACAGACATTCCAATGTAATGTATTGTACGCACTTCGCCTTGCCCTTGTCAAATGCGAGAATAAGTGAAGAAGGGGGAAGAGTTTGACTCAGTGTGTGTACACAAAAGCCAGCATTTTCCCACGTGTTGGAAGGATGTAAATGAGACGGGTGAGGGTAAGACGTAGCGGAGAGATGGGGGCTTTAGAGATTAGAGAGGCGTAATAAAAAAAAATAATAATAAAAAAAAAAAAAATGAGGAGGAAAGGTTGGCGGGTGGTTAATAAAGCAAGCACACAGACACACAATCTTTTTCTCTTCTTTTTCTCTTCCTGCTCCAGCAGTCTTCCTAATTCCTCTACCGTCCCTCCCTACTCTCAAAGCCTGACCTCTAGGGTCACCCGTACATTAGGTTCCGTGGGAAAATGTCGCTGAGACGCGAACAAGGCTCACATACTGACAGAGGGGAGGGACTATGTGAGTGAGAGATATATAGGTTGGGTCTGTGAATCTTTTAAAGCTTACATATATTTGAGATATATATGTTTATTACTTACCAACGGGTGGCAAATGAACGGGGAAGGGAAGGAGGTGTCTACATTGAACAAGTTGTTCCGGAGGCTACTTAAATCAGCGCCCGATTTTAAAATTATTAATTATATAAAATTTAAATTATTATTGCCAAATGTTTTTTTTCTTGTGCTGTCTATGGGTTGGACTTTAATCTAATTGTTTTATTAGCCTAAACTAGTTTTATTTTAATAGAATATTTGCTTAATTCAGTTGCAAAATTATTTTGTCTGTTTATGAATATCAAATCGAAATAGTAATTTTTTTTCTACTAGTTTTCTTTTTTTTTTAATCTTTTTGTTATTTTTTAACGTGGGTCGATTTTACAACCGTTAAGCAAGTAAATTAGATTGGAAATAAAGATATTTATTTACCCTAACTCCGTCTTAAATCTCATTCGTATTCTTTCTCCTTGGAGAAAGAACTTGCTAGGCTTGGGGCTAAACATTTTCCAAAATCTTTTTTTTTTTTTTTTTTTTTTTTTTTTTTTTTTCATTTTAGTCATACATGCATAAAATATCTTCTTAACTGTCGATATAAAATCACGAATTACCTGATTAGTGGTTGATTAGTAATTTTAAACTGCCAAAAACACACGTCCTAAAACTAAGTTTCACGAGACACTTTTAGTTTTTCTTTATTAACGATTGCTTTTTGAACAAATATTCACTTTATTTTTAATATTTGAATTACTGATTTAATATGTTTTTCCTTTTTCTTCTTCTTCTTCCAGGGCGAACAATTTTCAAAACTGGAGAAAGTCGATATTCTTGAAATGACAGTGAAATATCTGCGTTTTCTCCATCAGCAACAACAAGTGAATATTACAACCGATTCCCTCGGGGGAAAATACCGTGTACCCCTTGACGTTTCTGCTGAGGTCATGCGATATATGAACAGTGAAGAGGCCCGATCTCGTCTCACCGACCACATCAGCAAATGTGTCCGAGTGAGCAACGGATCTCCGACCCAACCCATCGCACCCCCCAACACTCAGACCCCTACACCAACGACAACACATCAACAGATCCCCACCCCACAAACCTCGGAACACATCCGCCAGAGTCAACCTCAGGCAACTCCTTTGGGAGACAATACTACACACATAGTTCTTCCAATTGCTTCAAAACAGTCTGAAAGTAGTTTAATGATGGCAACAGTTCCTGAAACTCCATACAAGACTCTAACTGTATCTTACACAGCCATCAACTCACCGGTCAGTAGCAGTTCCCCACCCACACATGTGATTAACGCCCCTATTAATTCTCTCGCTGCCATCACAACTCCAAACACTATCACATCTCCATCTATCGTTCATATGAAGGCTTTGGTGTCAGACAGTAATGCTTCAAACGGTTGTTATGTATCCACAGTGCCAGTGTATGTTGGTAGCATCAGTGAAGCAAAACCCACTTCAGCCACATTAGCCGGTTTTTATACACAACCGCTTAAAAGAAACAGTTCACCTGAACCAATTAAAGAACTTCCATTGTGGAGACCCTGGTGATTTTGTTACTGCTTTCACAGTATAAAAAGACAGACTTATTTTGTACAATAGAGGGGACTAAAAATGCGATAAGACACATCACAATGATAAATGCTTCCTCACAGACATTATTATCTAAAATATGTGCATTACATGAGATAAAAACAATTAACTCTGCAATTAAAAAATGTAATAAAAGAAAAGACAATGATGATAAACAGACCTACATCAGAAAAGTTAATTTATCAGCCATTTCTTTCATGTGAATCTGCTGATTGCCACACGGCAAGAAAAAGGACAAAAAAGAAACGGTTGATGAAAATTGAAAAGGGACCATGACGTTGAGTTCAACTCTTTTGAACTTCAAACAAATTCAGAATCTATTTTTTTTAAAAAAAACAAAATGACTATTTTTTGAAAACAATTCCCTGCATGTACTGAATCTGATCAGTTGTTGATTTGCAGGGATTCAACTAATAAATTCAGCCTTTGATAAAATGAAATAAACGTGTCAGTGTTTTTACTTATGTTGTTGAAAAAATGTTCTTCTAAATGGCACTTGGATGAAGCAAGTGTTCCCTTATCTGTTTGATTCTTTGATCAGAATTTGACAAGTTTTCATTACTTCATTCATCAGTGAAATATGTCTTGTAAAATCTGCAATAACCTTGTGTGATTCCTTGTTATTATATAGTAGGTGTTTCAACAATGCTATAAGCACGTAGCTATTTATTTCTAAAATGTTACACAGGAAGATAAATACTTTTCCTTTGATTTAATTTTTTAGTTCTCCTTATTTGAAATAAATTGTATTATATAATAGTACACGCACATATATGTGTGCGTGTGTGTGTGCGTGAGCATAGATATGCATTCAGTTTCTCAGATCTAATCATTTTGAATGAAAATGTCAAAACAAAATGATTTATTTTCATTTGTGTATAGAAACCTTACAATAGATACTAACTTTGAATTTCTATAAGATAAATACTATACAATATCTACATACAAAAGTGTTTTGTAGTTTGCAAATAATTCCAAATTATGGAATTTATTTAATCATTGTTTATTACAGAAGAAAATTGTTACCGAATATTGGTTCTCGTTGACCATTACAATGGAGCTTAATCCACATCAGGTGACCCTACTTCTGGTCTTGTGACAAAACTAAGCTACATTAAGTAAAAAATGTATTTTCCTACTATTGACTTTTAAGAGTGATTGGTAGCTTATTTTTAGAATTAGTTTTGAACTACTGAATACGTTTTTCTTATCACAATGTTTTGATTACTCCATTCTACAGCCTTCTGTAAGGAAAGTGAAATGTTTTTCTACCGCACTAGGCAATGACAAATATACCTAGATACAATTCATTCTCAGCAAGTTAACGCAAAGAATTGTATTCAAACAATTCTTGGAATGTAGTTTGGATTTTGCTGTCTTTATATACAACAAAGAGTTGTGTAAATTGAAATAAAATAAAACAACAATTAGAAATTTAAAACTAGATTTCATTAATTTGGCTGTGTGACACTGACAATGATTAAGGTAAGTTTCAAGCATTCTAAAGAAACCTACCTTCACAGATTTTCCAAAAATGTTCCAACATAAAATTAATGGGGAATTAAGGCATATGTATTGCCGAACCAAGTTTCTTAGGCAGATTATCTTTGAAAGCTTTTCTGAAATAATACAATTATTGCAAGAAACAAGTACATCCTAAGATGTTTACAGGAGAAATATTGTAACGAAAAGTTACATTCCTGCTGTAATCAGAAATGACATATGCATCTTGTATTTCTGGACTTTATTTACATCTTCACATTTCCAATCAGTACGAATTGTAATTGGGTTAATGTTTGTAAATATTTACTCCTTAGATTAATTTTGAACTGAAAAAGAAATTATGGTTTCATAAAGGCCCTACATATTTCATAGTGACACAAGTATAAAAGATATATATATATATATATATGAAAAACTATATACATAATTAAAAATAATCAGTTCATATAATAAATGATATTGTTAATTCCTGTTTTTTAAACACAATGTACATTTTAAAATGATTAACTAAAAACGTTTTGCTGTCAGAATTTCTGAAATATCGAATGATCATTATTATAAACTACTCTATTCCTATGAAACAATAGTCTTATGGATTATAAAGTGTTGACTGAATGTATGCAGTTTACCTGGTGGCCATAAGTTTAATCCCAAAGCATTGAAATTTATTCTACTTCATTAGAATGAACAGAAAGAGTATCACAAGGACAAACAATTTAACCAATTTGATTGACTAACAAGTTTTGTTAAAAATTCCTTCATTACCAAATAATACAACATGTATAGCAAATATTTTCTGACATCTCTCAAAACCAGTTCACCAACAATTATACAATACTTTTATATTACGAAGTGCCCTACATTCGTGACCTTGTACCAGACTAAACTTAGTAAATGGTAACTTGTTTTTGTCGCTTGAGTTCCCCCTCCAAAAGTGAAACTCAATACTGTGTTAATCAATTGAAACTCAATGACAAGATCTTTTCTGTCCTGGAGATGCTAATGTAAATATGACATCACATATTGGCAGGTTCAGTAACAATTTGTGCCGTACTAAAAAAAAATAAATGCTATTTTTTGTTATTGGTTCTACATATTTTCACAATTTTTGTCAATTACTGACAAATGCAATTTAGAGAACACACAGTAAACAACATTCAGAGATTTTCATAAACCTCATACTTTATTTCTTTTCATTTTTTTTAAGTTCTGGCTCTTTTTTACGCTGGTAATGAATCAGTGGTTCAAGACAAGATTATCTGGAAGCTGCTAACAAGCCAAATATTTCACCATGATATCACGCATTTCACAAGAACTTTTTAAAAAATCCTATTTAAGATTTAAAAGATAAAATTAAAAAAATAATCTTCCATAAATCTGTTTTATTCTGTTATAATGAAAGAAATTAAGTTTATGAGGAGACAACTCACAAAACAAATCAAGAGCTACTATCTGACTTATTTCCCTTAGATGACAGCAAACAGGATGTTTGGATGTTAGATTTCGTGATTAAATTTACATTTACACAGAGTTTAAACAAAAAACCTCTACAGGACAAAATATTTAAAATACAGTGTATTTACTTAATGTATGATACTTAAAACACTTGAATCCATATAAATCATGAATCTGAACATACAAGTTTCATTTTTTTATTTCCTATTGATCATTCAGGAAGTTAATAAATTTTTATTGTCCTTGTTCCCAAATTATAAAAGGTAAGTTATAGATTTATACCAATTTAAAGAGAAGAGATTTTCATCCTGACTTCCTATCAGCTTTCCTTTTCATGGTTTTATTTTACATGGAATTTGATATCAAACCAGAGATCTAGAAAATTAAAGTCAATAAATTCATGAAAAACTTGTCTATGTAATACCTTATATTAGCAATTAAAATTGCATGATGAGATTCATAAAGAAAACATCTAGTCTTTGTAATTTTCGTTCCAGTTCAAGACAGACTCTTTGGTTGTGCAATTTAACTCAGTATGAAAAGTTTATCAACTACATTAAACTTTCTACATTTCTTACAACTTTCCACAAAAAAATTAAAATGCGACAAAAATATTGGTAAACAATTCGACACAAATAAGATAAACAAATTTCTCAAATGACAACTTTTGCAGATAAGACTGTCCTATTTTTTTTTTTTTTTTTTTGCTATCTTGGCACTGCTTAAACTGGTGCACACGTTAAGACTAGGGAAATATTCTTAAGAAATAATTTTGTAGATTAGCATATTCAGACATTCCTTAGACTGTGACATATTGATTTTTATCAATTTAAAAGAGGGTTCTGCTTAATATCAACTTATTATTGGACTTAGTTGTTTTTGCATACGAAAACAGAATTTTTTTGGCAGTGAGGATACAAAAGATTTTTCTTAAATAACGTACAAACGGACATATATATTTAAAAATAAAGAACAAAAATTTACATAAATTACGTATCCGTTTATTCTTCATTTAAAATAAATATTTATGAACCTAAAATGATTGTTCATGTGCATCTGAAAAAAAAATCCATACAAAAAAGAAAACGTTTTTAAAAAATGTTAAAGAAAAAATATATCAATGATGTTTTTAAATTTTCAAACTTGACACTAGTAAATAACAGCTCAGTGACATAGCCTAAGGCCAATAACTCTTTAAAGTTAGGATCAGTTTTTACACTGTATCAATATTATAAATAGGACATCCTTCTAAATCGATAACAAAGCAATATTTTTAAATTCTGACAAGTACCGCAGTCTAAAGAAGGTCTAATCTACAAAAAAAGTACTTCCTAAAAGATTTTCCTTATTTTTTATGAGTGGACCAGTCTATTTAAGTAGTGTCTGCATGTCTTACAAAACTGAATACACGGATATTGTAGTCTGGATCATCCCCACTAAAATCAATGTAAATTAAAATGACATAATGCTATTGAGAACAAGTTTAACTTTTAAGACTGAAAGCAATTTAGATAAATTGTTTGGGTCATGGCCTTCTGACATACTTTTTATATAAATAAATATATATGAATCAACAGCTATAGATCACTATATACTATTATATTGTATTAAAAAAGGCAAAATGACTTGAGAAAATGCCAGTAACTTCTCTGCTAAAGTTACTTATCCCACATTTCTTCCTCTCAGCTCCATGGAATCCAACAAACATTGATTTACAATGTCTTAAATGCAATGTCAATGGCTATATATCAGGATATGCATACATACATACATAAATACATACACACACACATACACGCACGCACACACACACACACACACATATATATATATATATATATATATATAATGGACTCTCCCGTCGGTTTCGACGTATGAGGATCTGACAGCTTATTGATTCAATTATGAAATTTTGTGCGAGAATCTTAAGTAGCATTTAAGACCCGCTAGTGATTTACAAAGGAGGCCACATATGGAGCAAGTGTGAGGATTGTGAGATG